GGTTTATGTGCAGATGGTTTCACTCAATTTAGTCAGTCTGCTTCACCTTACTCATGTTGGCTCGTCATACTCACACCATACAATCTTCTACCAGAGTTGTGTATGACTAAACCTTATATGTTTCTAATGCTTATCATTCCAGGGTTACATAATCTAAAAGCAAAGATCGATGTATTCTTACAACCATTAATTGATGATTTAAAATTATTATGGGAAGAGGGAATAAGTACATATGATATCTCCACCAAATAGAACTTCATTATGAGGGTAGCATTACTTTGGATAATTGGTGATTTTCCCGCATACAATATGCTCTCAGGTTGGAACACTTCTAGAAAATTAGCTTGACGGCTTTATATGGAATATACAAAGTCATTCACTTTAAAGCGCGGAGGGAAGAACACTTGGTTCGACTGTTATCGCATGTTCTTACCTACAAATCATCCTTTTAGGCAAAATAAGGATAGTTTTGTCAAAAATAAAATGGTTATGTCACTGCCTCCTCCTAAATTTACTAGTGAATAAATATTTGAAAGAGTAAGATCAATACCCACAATAGTGTATTCTCTAATATTAGCTGATTACAAATTACTAGGGTATGTTGTTAATCATAATTGGACCAAAAAAATATTTTTTGGTCATTACCATATTAGAGGACAAACTTGATCAGACATAACTTAGACATGATGTATATAGAAAAAATATCTTTGATAATATATTCAATACAATCATGGATATCAAAGATAAATCCAAAAACAATATAAAAGCAATGATAGACTTAAAGGAGATTTGTAGGATGAAAGCATTAGAATTGAGGGATGCTAGAAATGGAATATTTTTCAAACCAAAAGCTCAATTCACTTTGAGTTTAGAGTAAAGGCGATCTGTTTGTGAATCGGTGAAGAGTTTATGGGTACTTGATGGTTATTCTTCAAATCTAAGCAGATGTCTTAACATTATAACTGGGAGATTATTTGGTATGAAGAGTCATGATTGGCATATTTTTATGCAATGTCTACTACCAACTACTTTTAATTATCTATCGGATCAAATTTTAAATCCCTTGATCGAGTTTACTATCTTCTTCAAAGATTTATGCTCATCAAAGCTTAATACAGAGTCCCTAATTCTTATGGAGCATAATATCCCTTTTATTTTGTGTAAACTTGAAAAGATATTTCCTCCAAGTTTCTTTGACTCTATGGGGCATCTGCTCATGCATTTGCCATATGAAGCTAGAGTTGGTGGACTTGTTAGTATCGATGGATGTATCCTTTTGAGAGGAATTTAAATAAACTTAAGAAGACTGCTAAGAACAAAGCACATCCTGAAGGCTTAATATGTGAAGCATATTTAATGTACGAGACAACCCAATTTTGCTCGTATTCTTTTGAAATAACATCACAGTCAAGTCATATCACTGCACCTGAAAATGTGGGTCATTCTTCAAATTTATCTGTATTCAACGGCAGTGGTGAACTGTTAGGCGCTAGTACGATGCGCTATTTGACTGATAAGGAGATGCGAGCTACCACTTTATATGTCTTGATTAATTGTGATAAAGTTGAGTCATATTTCGAGTAAGTATGAATAATTAAGCTTGCTAATAAATTTGTTACTCATACTTAAATTCAATCTAAACCTTAATGTTAATAGGTGTTTCATTGATAGATTGAATACAACAGAAGAAGTAGAAGTCTAAAAGATAGTGGAAATAGAATTCCCAATTTGGTTTAAAATATGATACATAAAATGGCTATTCATCTCTTTAATTACTTATTAAGCATACTACTGACATATTTTACGTACTAACTATAGGTCCACACTCAAGGAAGTAATTTGCAATATAATGGGTTAGTTGATCTAGCTTGGGGACATAATAGAGATGTGAAGTGTTTTAAAAAATTTTTAGTTCATGGTTACAAATTCCAAACAAAATCTTCGTGTGAAGAAAGAAAAATAGATAATGCTAGTGTATGTGTCAGAGGGAATACCCATATAGGTGATGATTCTGAGTATTGCGAGGTATTGCAAGAAATATTAAAGTTGGAATATCCAAGTCTATACGTATTCAGGGCACCTCTTCATCTCAGCCAGCTACTCAGAGTCAGCCTAGCCCTCCTTTACCTAATCCTACAGCGACAAGTCCATAGTTTTACTCACGAAACCCACACTTACCTTCACCAGACCTTACGCAGACTACTCCTTCCTACTCCTACTTCCCATCACCACCTTCTCATGGTGTATGTTCTACATATCCACCATATGTCCCACCACCTACTCAGCCCTCTACAACACCACCTTAGCCCACTACATCACCACCTCAGCCTGCTACAGCACCACCTCAGCCCGCTATAGAACCACCTTAACCCGCTACAACACCACCTCAGCCCGCTACAGCACCACCTCAACCTGCTGCAGCAGAGCAGGCGACAGAGGGTCGCATGTTGATTGAACCTGACGGTGACATGTAAGTACTACTTTTATTTTAGCCATGCAAATAAAATTGAATTAATTTTTTTGGCAAGTAATATATTTCTCTCAGGTTTCATCCGTCAAAGGAGCCAACACATAAAATACGGGACATAATACGGAGCAGATACGATGCTCCTTATATTTCTTAGAAGAAAATCCCTAAAGTTGTACGGAACATGTGGTTTAGAGAGTTTGAGGTTTGTTATTATATAATTTTTTTTTTGTATTATATGTAATTTACAAAAGCTAACAAATTTATTTATTTTTTATTATATGTGTTTAAATGCAGAAAGATTTTTGTTGGCTGCCACAACATAATGATAAAATTAGAAAGAATTTTGAGAAGCGTGGCTCGACTCGCATGCGAGACATGTTTACTGATATTAGAAAGGCAGGCTAGCAACCACTTTGGATTGGTGAGGGTATATGGGTAGAGTTGAGCAGTGCTTGGGGTAGCCCAGATTATACCAGGAGGAGGGATCATAATCGACAGAACAGAACTTCTAATGTTGGGGGATTGGGTAGTTTCCTTCATACAAGGGATTCTATTCCTCATATTGAGCATATAAGATGTATAGTAAGACAATTGAAAATATTTAATAATTTACTTTAATTAGAATACTAACATATATTTTTCACAGAAAAAGGTGCTAGGTAGAGAACCGACTCCTATTGAATTGCATAGTCATACCCATATGCGATAGGAGGACCAACAATAGGTTGACAAGCGAGCGAGGAAAGCTTATGTAAGTATGTAAGATTCTTTTTTGTGTTGTTATGTATAAAATGCTTAAATTTTTATTAACTTTCATAGGAGGAGTACTCACTGCTTCGAGAAAGTCAGGCTACAGTAGGTGAAGGTTCTTCTGTTGGATTAGCAGAATATTCTGACTATTGCACTTGGCAGCAAGCGGTAGGAGGAATGCAGCACGGTAGAGTATACGAGTTAGGCTCGAAAGCTTATGCATATGAAGGGCAGACATCTAGTGGCTCCAATTTTTCATCTAGTACACATGACTCTTTACATACCCAACAGATAGCCGCCCTTACAGCCGAGCTAGAACAGATAAGGAAAGCACAAACTGATTGGCATATGCAAATGCAGCAGCAGCAGATGCATATAAAGAAGTAAGCTCAAATGTTAGAAGAAATATGAAAGATGAGAGAGCAGCTGAGTAGTGGGAGGAGTACAACATCAGCTGAGGATGGAACTGAATCAGAGTAGATGTTATTCATCTATTTTACTGATGTGGACATCTATTTCCATTTGTTTTTTGTCATGTTTATATATGTGTTGTTTGAACATCTTTGTTTCTGTTTATTATGTACATGTTTAGTTAATTATTGTTTGGGCATGTTTAATTACGTAATTGGTGATGTTCTTGATCAGAATTTGATGTATAAATGTAAATTGTGTTGATGAAAATTGTGTTGTTTATATGTGTTCTTTTATGCAGGTTTTTTGTGGAAATCACTTTTTTAAAGAAATGAAGGTTTTTTTCTTTTATGCTTCGGGTTTCCGGCGGATATTCCTTCGGAAACTCTGTCGGTAAGATGATGCGTCTGTTCTGGCATAATATCTGATGGAACGGCAGGCAGATATTTTGACGGTACTATCCGACGGTTATGAAACCATCGTCTTTATCTACGACGGAATATTCGCTGGTAATTCCGGCGAAACGGACGACGAAAAATGAAAACTATGAAACGTCGGGATTTGGACATATTCTGTCAGAAATATCGCCGGAAAATATTTCCGACGAAACTAGTATGCTGGAAAAAATTTCGGACGCGTGATTTACTGGTTAAGAGTTTTTCGCCGAAAATTCGCTGGAAACCAACAATTTCCGGTGCATTTCTGTTGTTACCGATTGATTTTGTCCGCCAGTTCTGTTGTTACCGGCGAATTTTGTTCGCCGGTATAGGCTTCTTTTCCTGTAGTGCCTCTTATAAATTTAATGGTATTATGTTACTAGCTATTTTTTTAAAAAAACTTTTTTATTATATTATTATTTTTTAATTATTTAATTTTTTCCCCGGCCTGCAAAAGGAAGTTGATTTTGCCCCTAAGAGCGATGGAGAGAGGTTTGATGAAGGAGATCCATGGTTTGGTGAAGAGATTGTAATGCTTGCACATATGTGTCATTCATCGAGATTGATCGTAGCTATGAGGAGGCCCAGTTAGCATTCTTACAACGAGAGGAAGCAGGGTTAGTGTGAAAGATAGAGTTAGATATTTGGAAAGTAGAATTTTTACAAACTATCTTGTTGCAAATGTGGGTGCAAACCTAAATGCCTTGGGACCAAATGCAAAATTAATCTCAAGTTTAATTGCAAGCAACAATAATTTTGTCATGGTATGTACAAAAAATCCATGGCATAAATTATTTTTGTAATATATCTAGAATTATTTCATCAATCTTATTTATTCACAATCAAAGTGGTTTAATTGTATGCGAAAGTTCATCTATAATTCTATGCGGACAATGACAATCATTTTTGCTCATTAAGTTATTTTAATCTTTTTGCTACATATAATTGGTACATCCGGCAGCCATTTGTCTTTTAGCTTACAATAACAAAAAGCATCTTAAGCTCACTCCTCTTATTTTCAGTGAACACTATATTCCTTTCAAATCTTGGTTCCATTTCCTTCTATTAAATCAATTTTCAGTATAATTAAAATAAGCTCTTTGAAATGTTAACTATTCATAACATCATGAGCTTAAACTCGTCGAGGCAAATAACCCCATCCCCATTGAGATCAAATCTCTTTATCATAACGCTGCATTCATCCACGCTCTTCTCCTCTCCCAGCCGCCGCAGCCCCCGCCGGAGGCTTCTTGCCGTGATGCAGCCACTTCCATCCATCTCGTATGCTGAAAAAGCTTCCTTTATAGTCGACTCCCTTTCCTCCTCTTCCTCCATATCCACCAGCTTAACAAAGTCATCGTATCCCAGCACTCCGTCACCGTCAGAGTCGGACAACTGCATGATCGCCTCGGCCTCCGCTGGCGACAGCTCCTCCCCGACACTGTGCAAGCAGCTGCACAGTTCAGCAGCAGAGATCTTACCGTCGCCATCTTCGTCGAAGTAGCGGAAGACACTCTCTAACTCGCACCCTGGTGATGTTACCAGCAGCACACGTTTCGAGGAAGACGGAAAGCAGGGTTTTTTATGTTTGTTCAGGGAAAATATGCCGCTGATACTGGTAAAGAGAGACTTGGAGCTTCGTCTGCCTCCAGAGCCAATGTTGAGCTTCGACATAATGACGGGTGTCGTTTAGTTTCCTTGCCTCAACAACAGGGATTAATAAGAGTTGGAAATTTTAATGGTTTGGTGATGTAGATAAAAGTTCGATGGGATTGTGGAGATTTGAACATGGCGTCCATTTATAGTACGTGCGGAAGTCGGTCGGAATACAGAGAGATGTTAAGGACGGCGGGTTCTTCTGGGAAATTTCAAAGGGCGGCAGCCCCAGCGCAAGCGACGCTGAATTCATTTATCAGCTTTTGAGTCCAGCTAAGTATTAAAAGGAAGAGCCCACTCATCGAGTCCGTCCGTTCGCGGCATTCCGCGGCAATGGCGATAATTTCAGCTTTGTTCCCGCACGGCACCTACCGACCAATAACTTGGACGCGCATCCATAGAAAGATTTAGCTTAAATTACTGATTAATTTATTTTAATTTAATAATTATATTATTTAGTTTGGGATAATTTATTGAGAGATGACGGCCAATCAGAAGCCGCCACATCAAGTAATGCGCTATGCATTAGGTGACATGGTGTCTCTTGATTGGTATCCGAGCACATTGGTCGTCCCCACCTAATAATTTTTCAGGAGTTCAATGTAAAAATTATTGTGTCTTTGATGAACGTTGCACACCTATCTTTCTTCTATTTGCATGCTGGATTTTCGTACAAAATTAGGACGCTAAATTTTATATTTCTCTACCACCGTAAATATTTTTGGACTCAAAAATAGTATATTTATATTGAAAACTTCATTAACATATCTTCAAAATTGTATATCATATTTAGTTATAGATAATGTTTTCAATATAAGTATATTATAATTTAAAATTATATAAATATATCATATCTATTTTTACTACTATAACATTTACAGGCAAAAATTAAAGTACAATGTGTACTATAATAACATAAATAGAAATAAAACATCAAATTAGTAGCACTGTGGGAGAATTCCTTTGATACTTAAAAGGGATATATACCCTAAATAATAATTTAAGGATCATCAATCATTGGTTATATAATTTTTTTTTTTTTTTGGATTTTCAAACACTCATCATAAAAATCTTCTATGCGAATTTAAAATTATGCATAAATTTAATAATAATTTTAATAAAATAAATAAATATTTAATTGATATAAATTTTAAAGAGAATATACCACTAAAAAAATAATCATAAATAATGTTTTTTCTCGGATGATGTCATATGAACCGTTATAAAGTTTAATCTAATTTTTCTAAAAAATGATTAGTAATATTGAGCTCAATTAATATCAAATAAAAAGAAATTTTAATTTTTTTAATTTTTTAAACTGAGTTTTGATTATAATATTAAGTTAATTTTTTCTAATTAAGTTTATAAACAATAAGAGATAATTTATTCTATTTTTTATACGTAAGAAAAAGTGTGTTCAGTCTTCTAATTATAAAAATTATTATGTTCTTTTTAAAATATTGCCCTTAATTAAAATTATATTTTCATATCATTTTTAAATGTTGACCCATCTTCTCTTGTCTGTATTGTAACTATTATTGTGGAAGAAAAGCCAAAAAAAACAAACAACTCTTTTGTGTTTCATGAGCATGATCACACGTGCACTCTCATCCCATCCATTTTGGTTAGCTTTATTATTGCTTAATTTCCAGTTTACTATCAATCTAAAAAATTAATTACTTTTTTTTAAGAATTTGTTTATATTGCTCCTTAAAACATTATATTTTCGGCAATCAATTTTTCAGAACTTATTTATTTATTTTTCAATTTAAAGTAAGGGAACATAAAGTAAAATAACAAAACATTCGAAATAATAATTGATCAAAAGTCGCTAACAATAGGTTGCAATGAACATTAATAGGTGACAATGGCAACAACCAACTGAAGACCGTCGCAGTTGACGAGGATTAATTTTACTCAAACGAAGGGTTGTTTAGGATGGTTGAAGTTTTCTGAAAGTGATTTTAAAGCTGCTCGAGAAAATGATGTTATGTGTCCCCGAAATAAGAGAAAATCAAATTCAAATGAGGTTATGTGTCCCCAAAATAAGAGAAAATAATATTCAAATGTTGGGTGTTAGAACTACTTGGAATTATTTGGTTGATGAAAAAAATAAATACAAGTGATTATTTTTTTTATTTGGCCTAGAGAAAAGTGAATGCGGTGTATACCTAAATGATGGTGGTGATTGGTAGCTGACAGCAGCATTTGGCGGAGGTTTATGATAATAATGGCAGAGAATTACAGTGTATTTGAAAATTGATTAAATATAATAATTTCTAAATGTACTGAAATCAAACTAAATGGTAAAATCTAAATAGTTTAAAATTTTACTCTACATTTCTTCTACTTCCTACCAAAGATCAATATTCTAAAAATTTCTACATTTGAAATACTTTAACGCTATTGTTACTTCAAATCAAATAGTCACTAAAGGATTTCAAAAAACTTTTTGATATCTTTTGATATAATTGGCAATTGTTTTGATGGGAGCTTTCCTATATAAGTAATCAAAATCTTCTAAAACATTTATTTTATTAACCAAATGAGTAATCAATAATTTAGTTTTTAATATTTTTTTGTTAAGAAAACAAATGTAACAAAAATATTGATCTTTCGTTTTATTAAGAAAATAAATGTATAAAAAAAATATTGATTACTCATTGAAAAGATGCCATCGAACAAAGCACTTTTTAGTTATATCAAAAGGCATTAAAAAGCTTTTTGTTGAGGCTTGCATACTTTAAACAAAATGTATCAAAAAGCTAACATCCTCTTACAACTTCTTCTATTTATCACACTAAAGACAAGTAGCTATGAGCAAAATATTTACAAAATGGTTAATTTCTGGTAGCAGAACATATTTGGCAACTCCATCGGCTGATATGTTGGACATAACAATTTTTTTTTCATTTTCATCACATTTGTCAATATTTTCATTTGATAGCTCTTCGATATTAGACATGTTCGTGTCTCACATATGTGTTCAATAAATAGCCTTCTTTTAAGTGATTGATAATATATAAATAAAATAAAAAGAATAACCATTGAAATTTTATAGTGAGGAAATAGATAAGAATATCTTGAGCTAATTTTTTTTCTAGAGTTGAAATATTTCTTGAACCTCAATACTCTATCATATACTTAACAAAGCAAAATTTTCAAGATAATAATTAAGATGGTTATAAATAATTTTTTAATGATAAAATATTGTCGTGCATAATCTCTACTTCCATGTGTTAAATATAGGATCATTTTCTAATATTTGTTTACTATATGAAGTTCTCTTATGTTTCCATTAATTAATGAATCAAATCTAAAATGTTTTTTTTTAATTAAGACAATTTGCAATAAATAAGTTCTCTTATTCATATTTTATTACTAATACAACTTCCTCTCATTATAGCTTTATATATTGCTATTAATATTGTCTCATTCTTGTATTTTGTTTTTTTCTTTTTATTAAGTGTAGGTGAGACATAAAAGAGAAAGGGATGTATGAATCGAGAGTTAGGAGCAAAGGGTATGAGATCGAGCGAGAGAAGCTGGGTGAATGTGCGAGATTGAGAGCTTCAATCTCATTCCTCTTTGGATTTCCCTTGAAATCAAGAGGGAAGAGCATATATTTGATCTTGGAGGCAAAAGCGATATAGAAAAATGTATAGTTGTATTGAAGGTATAATATGTTGGCTAGGATTAAAGATAAATATAGCAGATTTTTTTACTAATTATGAATCATCTTGGTTAGTGAAAGTGAAAAATTAGCAATCTAGAAGTTTTTGACAATTGTTACCCATTCCAAAGTAGAAATGGGAGAAGGTAATGATGGATTTCACTATGGGATGTCCCAGGTCAAGATAGGTGTGTGATGGATAGGTTAATATAGACCGTTTGATAACTTCTACCCATTTTATTATGATTTGACAATCTAATTTGGTGAATAGATTAACATAGGTAAACATGCATGAAATTATTCAATTGTACTGGGGACTAAAAGTTAAATTTATAATAGAGATAGCAGGTTCATCTTCAAATTATGGAGTGGTATTTAGTAAGGTTGGGACAGTAAAAAGAATTTCAATATGGATTTTCATCCATTGACTGATGTACAATTTAAGTGGATTTTTTAGGTGCTAAAAGATCATCTGAGATTATATGTTCTAGACTTTAGTGGTAGTTATCCCTCTATATAGTAGGGAATAAAGAACCCTTCTATCTCAGATAGAGGTAGGTAAAAGGAATTTGATCAAGCTAACTTCAGTTGATTATGCCATTGAGAAGATATATCTAATAAGGAGAGATTAAAAGCTATGTAGGATAAGAAAAAATAGTATTATAATGCCAAACACCGAGCAATAGAATTTTAAGTGGAAGACTTCATATAAATGAAAATAAGACCGATAAAAGGCATCAGCAAATTTAGGAACAAAGGAAAATTGAGCCCAAAAATTTTTATATTATTTAAAGAAACTGAAAGGATTGAAAAATCTACCTATAAAGTATATTTGCTAGAGCATATATCTAACATTCATTATGACTTCCTAATATATCTTTTGAAGACATGGGTATCTAATTCTAAAAATTAAATATCGACAGATGATGTTGAGGTACGATCAAACTTGAGTTAAAAAGAGAAATCAAAGATGATTCTTCAATGCAATGTTAGAGAGTTAAAAACAAATAGATTCAAATGGTCAAGGTAAAATGGAAAAATATAATAGAAAGAGAAGCAACTTGGGAGATAGAATTTAAGATGAGACAATGATACCTTGATCTATTTTGTTGATTAGAGTTCTGAAATGTTGAGGATAACTTTTTTGAGGAGGGAAGGATTGCAACACCAACATATTCGTACACCATTCCAGTTATTCTAATATGATCTCATCCAAGGCAACTCATTAAATTTCTACATTTTAACAAATTTTCACATGTTAGGGAATGTTTTATATATATGAAAGGTCTGCTCTTGCTTTGAAGTGAGTCTCAGGGGTTTGTGTGCATGATTATAAAATATAAAG